AACAAAAGAGAAGAAGAATAACAAACAAGAAAGAGAAGAATGAGAGAAGAAGTATTTGGAGAGAATGTGTTACCCACAACTGTGGGATTTCTTATTGAACTTTCACTTGCTAACTGCAACTGTGAAATCTGTTCTGTTGTGATGTAGAATACAAAGCAAGACACCCTATTTATAGTTTTAGGTTTACACTAGCCCAAAACATAAAAGGCCCAAAATATTCTAAATCAAATCTAATCATATGATATCAAATCTAATCATATGATATCTAATCATATCATATCAAATTAATCATATGATATCAAATCTAATCATATGATATCAAATCTAATCATATCAAATCACAATGAATTATATTTAACACACCACCTAATTCATTGTGTCTAAACTGTCTACATTCATCATGGCCCTTAGTCTTCTGAAGGCTTCGACCTGCACTCTCTTCGTCATGATATCTGCAATCTGATTCTCAGTTCTGCAGTGTTCCAACTTCATCTTCCCTTCTGCTACCCGCTCTCGGAAATAATGGAACCTCATTTCGATGTGCTTGCTTCGACCATGAGCTATTGGATTCTTTGCCAAGTTGATAGCTGACATGCTGTCTATCTTCATGGTAATTGCTCCATGGTTCTTCCCTGTGATTTCTTCGACCAAGTTCACCATCCAAGTTGCTTGACATGCACAAAGGGAAGCAGCTATATATTCTGCTTCGCATGATGATAATGCCACCACTGGTTCCTTTCTCGAATTCCAAGCAACTGGTGCACCACCTAACATAAACACATATCCAGCTGTGGATTTTCGATCCTCAGCATCACTACACCAACCGGAGTCTGTGTATCCCACTAACTTGCATTCTTTTCCTTCATCAACTGCTGGAAACAAAATTCCATAGTCGATAGTTCCTTTCAGATACCTCAGTATCCTCTTCGCCGCTGCTAGGTGTGATACCTTTGGTTTCTGCATGAATCTACTTATCATACCAACACTGTATGCTAAGTCAGGTCTTGTGTGACAAAGGTATCTAAGTGACCCAATAAGTCTTCTGTATTGGGTTGGGTCGAAATCATATTCATATGAATCCTTCAACAGTTGTAATATGGGCTCAACTGCATTGACTGGTTTGATGGACTCCAACTCTTCAATCATTGCTTTCATCCACTTTGAATCTTTCAATGCCTCAGCTGCATTGACTGGTTCGACATCTACGTAGAAAGCATAATGTACCAACTCACCCTCTTCATCGACCACATCATCTGATGTAATTACACATTCTTGCAACCTTGCAGGCATGTGTCTTGTTCGTCGAGGTCTGCTTGAACCTGCTTCATCTGCAACTGGTTCCTGTCGAACTTCTATTTCGACTTCAGTGGTTGGTTCTTCACAAGAGATTCTCACTGAATCCTTCTTGGCATTCTCAGTCCAATCCCATTCTTTAAGCTCATCTATGATCATATCCCTGCTGATCACTACCTGCTTATTCATTGGGTCGAACAGCTTGTAACCTCCTGTCGAATGATATCCTATCAAGATCATCTTATTCGACTTATCATCAAGCTTCCTTCTCAACTGATCTGGCACATGTCTATGTGCTATAGATCCAAACACCTTCAAGTGACTGAGACTAGGCTTGACACCAGACCAACATTCTTCTGGTGTGATTCCTTCAAGCTTCTTCGTCGGACATCTGTTTAATATATATGTTGCTGTCGAAACTGCTTCTCCCCATAATTCTTTAGGTAGATGCTTTCCATTCAACATACTTCTCACCATATTCATGATGGTTTTGTTCTTGCGTTATGCAATCCCATTTTGCTGTGGAGTGTAAGGTGGCACCACCTCGTGCACAATCCCTTCTTTTACACATAGTATATCGAACTCTTTCGACACATACTCTCCACCACCATCAGTCCTCAGAATTTTCAGCTTTCGACCACTCTGTCTTTCGACCATGGACTTGAATCTGGAAAATACCTCAATCACATCACTTTTCTTCTTGATGAGGTAAGTCCACAACTTTCGATTGTAATCATCTATAAACGTGACAAAGTATCTATTGCCACCAATCGAATCCACCTGGATTGGACCACATACATCAGAGTATATGACTTCAAGTATTGCTTTCGACTTCCTTCCTGCATCCTTGCTGAAGCTATTCTTGTGTTGTTTCGACTGAACACACTCCTCACAGACTTCACTTGGAATGTCGATTTCTGGTAATCCTAAAACCATATTTCTTTTCTTCAGTTCTCTGATGTCATTAAATTTGAGATGACCTAGTCGAAAATGCCATAACCACTCATCTCTGCTGGCTGCAGTTGCTAGACACTTATGTTCCATCACATTGAGTCCAATCTTGAAGGTCCTATTCTGAGACATTGGAGCCTTCAAGATTAATCTACCACCTGCGTCGAGAACTCTCATCATCTTGTCTTCGACAACTACCTTGTAGTTCTTTTCGAAAAGCTGCCCTATACTGAACAAGTTACTCTTCATGCCTGATATGTACAACACATTGGAAATTGTTAACCTTTTGCCATCTTTCCTCATAATCAGAACATCACCAACACCTTCAGCTGCTAGAGTGTTGTCATTTGCAAACTTCACTGTGTTCTTCGACGAGGGCTTCATGTTGACAAACCAATCTTTCCTTTCAGTCATGTGTGATGAGCATCATGAGTCCAAGTACCACTAATCTTGGAATCTTTCTTCATCTTTTGTTGTGACCATTAGCAACGTTTCTTCTTCTTCATGTTTCGCCAGCTTTGCATCAGTCTCTTGATTTCTCTTCCTTTCTGGACAATCACTAGCATAATGACCATACTTCTGAAAATTGAAACACTGAATGTGGCTTTTTTCTGGCTTTCGACCGCCACCTCTTCCTTTACCTGCAGCACCCCCTCTTTGGTTGCCTTGGTTCCAAGGTTTCTTTTGATTCAACTGGTTTCCTCCTTTGTTGCCATTCCAGCTACCTTTGCATTTTCTCTCCTTTTCCGTCTGTGCCTGCAAAGCCATATCTTTCGACTTTCCTGCAGCTCTCTCAGACATCCTCTGTTCATGAGACTCAAGAGTCCCTTGAAGCTCTTCCTTCGTCAACACTGACAGATCTTTCGACTCTTCTATGGCAACTACCACGTGGTCGAACTTTGGAGCCAACGATCTCAAAATCTTTGAGACAACTACTTTCGTCGTCAGCGCTTCTCCACATACTTTGATTTGATTCACCAACTTTGCAACTCTGGTGAAGAAATCTGTAATGCTTTCGTTGTCTTCCATCTGAAGCAACTCATAGGTTCTCTTGTGAGTTTGTAACCTCACCTCTTTCACCTTCTCTGCACCTCCAAACGACTTTTCAAGAATCTCCCATGCTTCTTTTACTGAATCAACATCACTAACCTTTTCAAAGTTATCAGGATCAACACACTGATGAATTATAAAGAGTGCTTTATAATCCTTCTTCTTCAATTCTTTGTGCGCAGCCTTTTCCGCCTCCGTTGCATTCTCCACAAGCGGTATCACTCCGTCCTTCATAAGATCCCAAAGATCTTGATAACAGAAAATCACTTTAACCTGCTTGCACCAATTCTCATAATTGTCTTTCTTAAGAATTGGCAGGGTCGCCGGAAAATTGTCGTTCGGATAGTTCATCGCCATCACTATTTTCCTTCCTTGAATCTCTTAACCGGAGCTCTAGATACCAGATGTTGGAAATTCACCTCACACCCTATGAAGAATTCCCTTCAATCTTGATCTCAAGATTGACGAACAAACCCACAATATGATAATGATGGTAATAACAAGTAATTATCAAGAACAACAAAAGAGAAGAAGAATAACAAACAAGAAAGAGAAGAATGAGAGAAGAAGTATTTGGAGAGAATGTGTTACCCACAAATGTGGGATTTTTTATTGAACTTTCACTTGCTAACTGCAACTGTGAAATCTGTTCTGTTGTGATGTAGAATACAAAACAAGACACCCTATTTATAGTTTTAGGTTTACACTAGTCCAAAACATAAAAGGCTCAAAATATTCTAAATCAAATCTAATCATATGATATCAAATCTAATCATATGATATCTAATCATATCATATCAAATTAATCATATGATATCAAATCTAATCATATCAAATCACAATGAATTATATTTAACAATAGGTTCCGATGGTTGTTTTTAGCCTTCTCGTTGTTCAGGTAATGTCTTACTTCAAATGCTCTGGAGTTGGAGTAGCTTGGTTATCTGAATTCTTTTTGTATTTTCTTATGCTGAGTTGGTTTTGTTGTTGCTTGGTTGGGTTTCTTTAAGTGGGATGGGTGTTACTTTGGTTAGTGACGTCTCAAGCCTTTATTGTGGTTTTATTGTTTTTCTTTTCTGTTGTTTTATTTGTTCCTTCGCATTTCTTATGCTAGTGTTGTTTCAATATATTTTTTATTTTTCTAATATAAACGTAGATCTGATTTGCTATTAAAAAAAAATATACTCTATTATAGTCAGAATATACTATAAATAACAAAAAGAAGTGACCTATTTTATTATATGAATTTTGTATCATTTACTACTGTCAAATAACTAAAACATGTCTCTTTCTTTTTACTTTCTATTTATCTGCATTCTTTTATTATATTTTCTCCATTTACTTCCATTCCTCTCACTATTTTAAAAAAAAAAAAAATCCAAAGTCCAAATACAGCATTAGCATCACTGATTGATGGATTGATACGCTCTGATTCTATACAGTAACAATAATGAAGTGAGGACAACGAAGAAAAATAATTGTCCTCTTTCCCTCTTCATTTTCTTCTTACTCATTCTGCTCCCAATTTACACTTCACTGACACACGACACACACACACTCCAATTTCCTCCAATCCAATCAACCCTAAAAACCCCATTTTCTCAACTGTCGGTGATCCACTTCATTTTCAAACACCATAAAAAATATCCCAACTTTCACCAATCCCTTTCACACCATTGTTGAATCCTTCCAAAAAAAACGCAACAATGTCCTCGTCAACAAAGCAACCGCACTTCGCCACAAGCGGTTTGGTGATAGGTTACGCTCTTTGTTCAAGCTTGTTAGCGATAATCAACAAATACGCCATCACTCAATTCAACTACCCTGGTCTCTTAACAGCTTTACAGTACCTCACTTCAGCTCTCGGCGTTTACCTTTTGGGGAAATTAGGGTTTCTTCATCACGATCCTTTCACCATTCCGATCGCCAAGAAATTCTTCCCTGCCGCACTCGTTTTCTTCCTCGCAATCTTCACCAACACCAATCTACTACGTCACGCTAACGTTGATACCTTCATTGTTTTCAGATCTCTTACGCCTCTTCTTGTTGCTCTCGCTGATACCGCGTTTCGAGGTCAACCTTCGCCTTCTAACCTTACTTTTTTCTCGCTTGTTGTTATTCTTGCTGGTGCAGTTGGTTACGTTGCTACCGATTCGGGTTTTACTCTTACCGCTTATTCATGGGCTTTTGCTTATTTGGTTACGATTACTACTGAGATGGTTTATATCAAGCATATGGTTATGAGTCTTGGGTTGAATACTTGGGGTTTTGTTCTTTATAACAATCTGTTGTCGTTGATGATTGCTCCTTTCTTTTGGTTTCTTACTGGAGAGAATTTCGAGGTTTCGAATGCGATTAATTCGAGTACCGGGGGTTTGTTTGAGATGAATGCGTTTCTTGCGGTTTCTTTGTCATGTGTGTTTGGTTTGCTTATCAGTTTCTTTGGATTTGCTGCGAGAAAAGCGGTTTCGGCTACTGCTTTTACGGTTACTGGGGTTGTGAATAAGTTTCTCACGGTGGCTATTAATGTGACGATTTGGGATAAGCATGCTAGTCCTGCTGGTTTGGTTTGTTTGCTTTTTACTATAATTGGGGGTGTTCTTTATCAGCAATCGGTTACTGGGAATGTTTCGCCGCAACGTGATGCTGTGGTGGTGACTAAGCAGAGTGATATTGAAAGTAATCATGTTGGTGATGGTGATTTGGAAGATGAGAGTGAAGTAAAGGGTAAACTTGCTTCTTTATGAGTATTTTGTATTGTTGTTTGTTTTTAGTTTAGTACTTGACTTGGTGTTTAAGCTGTAATGAACTATGAATGTTGTTGTTTATTAACAACATTCGGAAAATTTTATATAGCTTGAGGTATTATTTTCATGATGATTTGAAATCTTGTGTCTTGAATCATGAAATGACAGGTATAAGATAAGAAACTATTGGCGTGTGCTGTGTTTTGCATATGGAACAGAATCTATTCTTGTTTGAGGGTAAGTGTAAAACTTGTTTGAAATATCATTCAGAAATGTCAACATATTGGTTTTGGACAGTAACAACAACATAACATTTCTGAAAGAAAGAAGAGATAGCAAAACTAAATCCGTATTTTGAAAAATCTTGTATTCACTATTAGCTTGCTGGCTGTTGCTCCTTTTGCTAAAATGTTTTTCCTTATCCTCATTACAGTTTGATGCACAACGTGCTTTGTGTACAGCAATCCAGAATGCGAGGCTCATTCAATGTGACTACTATTAGCAATTTCCTTTCTCTTTAACAGAGTATAAGTTTTGGCATTCAATTGAGTACTTTGTAGAAGAATGACTCTGTCTTCATTTTGTGTTCAGTGTGATATAGACAAATAAACCAATTCAATTAGAAGAGTGTTGTTCAAATTGTAGTTGACTCAACAGAATTAGTATAGTTTCATATTCCACTTATTTTCAATCCATTGAATATTTTGTTTTTTGTTGGCAAATGTTGTTTCTTTACAAGCACTATTATTATATTTATATGCATGTGATGATTCAGTTGTTTCTTTAAGAAGTTAACTTCATTAATGGATGGTTCAGTACTTCAGTTGTCAACTAGTTTGTTTTTCTTTTTCCTTCTCATTTAGATTCTTAGAATCAACCAGATTATTCAATGTTCTGGATGTTGTCATACAGACCGAGAATTTTTACACCTAGTAGGGATTGTTTCACCTCTTAAATTTGCTTTGAAATTCTTTTATGTTTTTAGTCTCTCTCATTTGTTTCCCAGAGTCATTTTATGTTATACTGCCGTGCTGCTTTACTTTTTAACCGAAGAGATCTTGCCTGTTTAGTTTTTGTGCTTCTCATCCCATCAAATAGCCTTCTCTTCAATAGCTGACTGAATGTTGACTGCAAATGTTGTGGTATTAGATTGTCCTGATGTAGCACAAATAGCTTCAGTTGTAAATTATTGGATTGTAGTGAATTGTTAAAATTGGATAACCGTTGGAAATTATTGGAAACTAATTGTCGGAAATTGTTAGAAACTACTATATAACTGTTGAAAACTACCAAAAAATGGTCAAATAGCTGTCGAAAATTGTTGGATACTGAACTACCAAAAAATTGTCAAATAACTGTCGAAAATTGTTGGATACTGTTAGATAACTGTTGGATATTGTCGTAAATTGTTGGATGACTGCTAGATAACTATTTGGAAATCGTCAGAAACTGTCGAAAACTAGAGGGAGAGCTAACATTCATTTCATTGAAAATGATTGAAGGAGAAATGATGCGATAGAAATAAGAATTGGAAGATTGGAGGAATATGTCCAATCGCTTGTGTTGGAGTTACATCAATTGTTATGGGCGGAGATGGCAAATGGCGAATCATTTTGGGTATGTTCCCATGGAAAACATAAATTCTGGTTGGGACATGTACCGGTAACAAATGTGTTAAAGAAACGTCAGAAAACTGAGTTTTAAATAGAGGTGATACCAGAAAAGGAAGGCGCGGAGGAGGAGAAGAAACAAGTCACAAAATCAGATAACACAGGGGAAGAAAACTGAGTTCTAAACAAAGGTGATACCGGAAAAGGAAGACGCAGAGGAGGAGAAGAAACAAGCCACAAAATCAGATAACATAGGGGAAGAACAAGTCGTGCACAACATGCAACTTTTGTGGAGTTAACCGCAATCAAATCCATTCCCAATGATCCTTTTCAAATTGAAACCGCAAAATAGCAGTTTATTTATGGTGAATCTATCTTGGTGCGTGTTACCTTCGTTGATCGTCCAAAGATCGACATTAGATAAGACTATGAACAAAATATAATGGAAATTCATATCTACATATACAACTGACAACTGGGTTGAAAGAGGAAGAAAAGTTGGATACAATTATAGATCTAATGGAAGAGTCATATCCTTCGCCGAAGTTGCTAGATCGACCTTCGTTGAAGCGACTCATCTCGGCTCCATCGGTGATGGCTCTGTTTGAATCACGCTCGACTATGTTTGTGAGAGACTCAACAACAATCTTTCCACCACTAGAACTGCCAAACAACAATTTACAAAGTATGGACCGTCTACAATCGACGACGGCTATCCTCCTTCTGGTTGGGAACTATGCTCGCATGGGGAAACACAAAGGGCAAAACGCCATCATTGCTTAGCCTCTAGGCCTTAAACAAAATTTATTGCGCTGTCACACGTGGCACAAAGAGGCTGCCACTTGGCATCCTTAAAACTGACCCCTCACATGTTTGTGAAAAGACAAGTCTCTTCAGCTCCCCGCAGACGTATTTGTAAGTTCAGAGTATGCCTAAGAGAGGGGGGGGGGGGGGGGGTGAATTAGGCTTTAGAAACTTTTTTCGGTTTTTTGATATTCTGAAATTTACTTGGTAATGATCTTGATGATGAAAGCAGTAAAGGCAGAATGAAAAATGAACACAGAGATTTATAGTGGTCCCCTTCACAATCCGAAGGTACTCCACTCCCCTTTCCACACGAAAGAGAGTTTTCACTATAGTTTTAGAATGTACAACCTATCACACCATCAACTGGTGAGCCCTACTATCTAACAACTATTTCAACAACTTAGTGTGCAAGAACAGTCCTCTTGCATGCACTAACCCCTGTGTTCAACAATCCTGAATCACAAGTCACAAAGAAATAATTCTTGTAATTTTGTAATTTGAGAGTGATACAATAATAATATCAATACAAAGATTGATCTTCTCCTTTTGATCAAAATTCACTTTTCAATATCAATACAAGTATTCAAAAATTCTGGATATGAAAGGGTATGAACAGTATGAACACTTTTTGAAAATATTTGAAAATATTTGAAAAGTAGTGAATTTTATTTAATGATTATTTTGAAAATTATTGGAGGTGTTTTTCAATTTGAAAATTTCAGAATTTATATGAGCAAAACACCATTTCAAAAAGGTATAATTAAGTAAGAATCAAATAATGAAAAGGTATAACATTCAAACAAAATTTGAATTTTAAAAGAAACAATTTTTCAAAATTCGTTCAGTGTTAATCGGTTAACCATATAGGTTAATCGGTTAACACTTGAACGTTGGTCCAGAGAATTCAAAATTTGAGGCCGTTAACCGATTAACCCATATGGTTAATCGGTTAACACTGTTAAAACTCAGAAAAATACTAAGTTAAAAAGTGTTATACCAATCCAAATGATTTTTTTAAAACATGCAGATGCAAAATGTAAATATGATAAATTATTTGAACACTTGTATATCAATTAAAGGAGTAAATATTGATATACCATAGCTTGAGTCCAAATCTTGAAAGTTGTAGGAACATTTGCACATGAAGCTTGATTTGTATGACAACATTCCATAGATGATATGCTTCTGGTTTTATCTTTAGTGTATATACCCCCACGGGTATATAGTGCAAGCAACTTCTTAGTACATATACCCCCACGGGTATATAGTGTAAGTATCTTGATCAATTTGACAGCTTGACTTTTTGCAATCATGAAATGAGCTTAAGACTTTGTTGACATCATCAAAACCTTGAGATTGGAGTGTGCTTCTACATTCTCCCCCTTTTTGATGATGACAAACAACTGAGTCTGTGCGATATCATTGACGATGTTTGGTTCAATTCTTGGCTTGCTTCTCCCCCTATGTCCAGCAACTCCCCCTATCTAAACAGAGGCAAAAAAATCCTGCACAAAGAGATATTAGACAGCCAAGCTCTTCTCCCCCTTTGTCATTAGCAAAAAGGAATGAGCTTTCAAGCCAAAACACGCAATATCGGCATACAAGACAACATATAATCAAGCACAGCAAAATAGATCGAAGGAAAAATGCAGCACATAGGAAATGCAACAAATATTGTATGGTTACAAATGAAATTAACAACTTAAAAACTTAAACATTATCCGGAAAGAAAAGCAATAAAAGCAACAGAAACACATATTTTCTTAAGCATCTTCATCGGACATATCCTCGTCTTCTGCTTCCTCTTCTTCACTACCTTCATCATCTGCATCTTCTTCTTCAACAATTCCTTGTATTACTTGGATTGATTTAAGAAGATGTCATCCTTTGTTTTCTTGATTTGTAGTCCAAGAAAATAGTTCAATTTTCCCATCATGGACATCTCGAATTCTCCTTGCATCATAAGTGAAAATTCTTCGCAAAGCTCTTTGTTTGTTGATCCGAAGATGATGTCATCGACATAGACTTGAACCAATAAGGTGTTACCCTTGATCTTCTTTATGAACAACGTCTTGTCAACCTTTCCTTTTGTAAATCCCTTTTCACATAAGAATTTGCTAAGGCGGTCATACCATGGTCTTGGTGCTTGTTTCAGTCCGTAGAGTGCCTTTTTTCAGTTTGTAAACATGCGAGGAATTCTTGAAGTCTTCAAAATCCGGAGGTTGTTTGACGTAGACTTCTTCATTGATGTATCCATTCAGGAAAGCGCTTTTGACATCCATCTGGAACAACTGAAAATTCATAGAACAAGCATAAGCAAGTAATAATCTAATTGCTTCTAACCTTGCTACCGGAGCGAACGTTTCATCAAAATCAATTCCTTTCTCCTGGTTGTAGCCTTGTGCGACCAATCTTTATTTGTTACGAACTATGATCCCATTCTCGTCAATTTTATTCTTAAACACCCATCTCGTTCCTATGATGTGCTTGTTGTCCGGTCTTGGTACGAGACTCCAAACTTGATTCCTTTCGAATTGGTTGAGTTCTTCTTGCATCGCTACAATCCATTGGTCGTCGCCTAAGGCTTCATCAATCTTGGTTGGTTCAATTTGAGACACAAAATCCATGTTGAGACAAGCATCCTTAAGATTAAGTCGAGTTGCAACGCCTTGGCTAATATCACAAACAACTTTATCTATCGGGTGATCTCTATGCGTTCTCCATTCCTTCGGAAGATCTTGATGTTCTTCAATAATTTGAGT